TCTTAAGCAGCAGCTCTATGAGATCTCAGAAGTCAGTGTCTATTAAACTGCAACAAACTCTATGCAGGTCTGGAGCCCTTTAGTAGCACTTTTTCAGTGAGCAGAAATTCAATGAGTGCTCAGTGAGTGAACTCTATACATGACTTCTACTATGGGTTTATGTCCTCTACATACATCCTTGCATCTTCCTGCAACTCCTGTACCTGCTCAGCAGTGCCAAGCATTTCTACCCAAATCTGCCCCAGCTAAGAGCTTGGTTTTGTAATTGATTTACATACACTGGATTTATAATTAATCTTTAATAATTGTATTTAAATGTAAAATTATAGTAATCATGTGTGTGATCTTGAATAGTCACAATAAATAGTGGGTATCTAAAATGAGGTTTTTTTGTCTTTTAACTACAACTCTATAATTTGTTTTATTTCTGGGTTGCTGGATACAAGTTACAACAAATTACTTAGTAAAAGATCCTTTTTGTGTTGTCAAATTCTGATATTGAAACTAACATAGATAACCTGGCATGAAGCTGTTTGATTTAATTTAGGGTTTCGGTAATAAAGAGGTTTGTACTTCAGGCCCAATAAACAACTAAAGATGATTTTCATCCAGTTGGTCTTTCTTAATTTTGGAACATGGAATTTTCTAATAAGTTGTGTAAAAGCAAGACAGAAAGCACCATAAAATATTTGGGTTTTTTTCAAAGATACCAGGATTAAAGTGAATTAAGCAATAATCTTAATTAAATCTGTTTGAAGGCTTTGGGGGGAAAAAGGCTTTAATAACCTTAAACTTCTTATGGAAAGAGATGTCAGGTGGATTCCGCAGAGGGTGCTATCTATAGGACCTGTAATGTTGGAGTTACCAACAACACTGTTGATTTAACATTTATTTTTAATAAAAGGTCCATTCAGTGTTTGACAGTTTCCACAGTAACTCATGTTCTGTTCTTCTCTCTTTCTGTGCTCATTGCATGAGTCCCTTATGTGAGTTATGATTCAAGGACCTTAACAAAAACGTCGTGTACCTCTATTAAAACCACGGTGTTTGAACTTGTTTATCTCCTGCCCATCCTGAGATTATGTTTAATTTCAATGTGTTCTTCAGAGTACATGTAGTAATAGTGGGGTCCATTAATATACCAAAATTATGTGTTCCTAAGTGTAGGAAGGAAGAGTTTTCTTACCAACCCATCTTCCAATTACTTTTTAAAAAACTACTTACAGCTGCTATTGAGTTTCTGTGAGTGTGGGACTATGTGGCCCCAGTGAACACTTTGCTTTGACCTACAATTTTCCAGTTATGTTGACTTTTTAAATTATGCTCCTCGTGAGCTTGATGTTAAGCCAGGTTTAATGTGAAACCAAGTGAAGAAGGAGAAGTACAAGTGCTTAATTTAACCACTTCAGATGTCTTTATAGGATTCAGAGAGAAGCACTTCTGGGAACCTCTGATGCTCTCTGTCTGCAAAGCCAGGTCTTTCTGAGTTCAGGGGTGCTTGTGGAGCTCTCGAGTGTTCACAGCTGTGGCAGACTCAAGGTGCTCAAGGGCTGTGCCAAATAACCTTGTTTTGTGCTCTGCAAATCTCAAGGTGAGGGGGAAGTTGCTGCTGCTGTGCTGTGATCCAGAGAGATCAGTGATCAGCGGGACTTTCTACACTGAGTGTTGCCTGTGTTGAACAGAAGAGAGGATATTCAGGTGCAGTACTCCAGCTACAAACAGTTTCTTGGGTTTTCTTAAAGCTGCAAAAAATAAGTGCCAAACAGCTGCGTGTGAAGACTGACAGCTGTGTCAGTAAATGTCTTTCTGGCCTGTCTCGAGCTTTTGTATCTCCAGCAGAAACTGAGGATCATTTTAAAGCCAGAAGTCCCACATTTGTGTTTGCTGGATTTGAGGAAGTCTGTGTTTTGTGAATCAGGATTTGCCAAGCTGTCAAATGTAATGATCAAAAAAGAGTGCTCCTCTGTTTAATTTTGATGTCATTGATGGGCCTCTTGCCTTGTTGACATTAACGCCTCAATTGCCCAAATTGATATTTTAATAAGAGCCCTATCAGTTGTGGCAGTGACCAAGCAGGCTGGGAAATGGTCTGCTTTGAAAAGACTTGAAAGGAATATCTCTTTAGCTTGAGAGGAATGTCACATAGCAAAGATATTCATGATGTTTTTAAGGTAGAATGACAGTGCTGTTGCTAGAGAACAAAACAGTAAAATGGTCCAGAGTGGGCTTACATGAAATAATGCTTTGCAGGCCTTTATTTTTTTCTTTCTTTCATTAAACAACTCCAAGATGAGTTGACTGTTTTAATTTCAAATATTTTCTGACTTGTTTAGAACTGGTGGTGTTATATAAAGTAACTGTATGAGACAGTTAATTTTGTGGTTGGATGAGATTTTATAATATTTTAAATATTGAATTTAAAAGATTGTTTACATAAATATATTAATATGCTATATAGATATTCTAATATCTACATAAATGTAATTCTTAGATTAGATTTTTTTTTATGCCACTGCCACCTGTAATAATACTTTCATATGAAGAATCTTCCTTATGATTGATTTGTAAGGAGCCATGGGGTGTGCATGTAGATTATTTCTTTCTTAACCGACAATTTTGTATTCTCAGAGTTGCTAATTACTGATTACTGAAGGAAAACTATTATATTTTCAGCTAGGTATGGTTTTTATTATAAATAAACCTCAAAGGTAACATTATTATATTCTTAGCAAATGCAAACAGCTAATACTTAATGCAGAGTTCAGGTTGCCTAGCAGCTAGAGAGGGCCACTCTGTCCAGATCCCAATGGAAGCAGGGTGAATGAATAAAAGTGATTTCAGTTTTAGGTGAGAGCAAGGTGAGATTTCTTCTTTTTTTTCCCCCCTTCTTCTGTGCATTTGTGTGTCTATTGGTACCACTAATAATGGTGGTAGAAATAACAGCAGAACTCACGAGCAGTACAGCACTGAGGTTAAATGCTGAGGGGTAAACTCTGGCCCTTTGTGCTGGCCCAGGCTACATTAATTACATGAACTCTTTACATAGTAACATAAAATAACAGATGGAAAGTCATGGGCACTGTTGAACCCAGAACACTTGCACACCACACAATACGTACTTTGTGTGAGGCATTTGATTACACTTCCATTACACTTTTGTACAGCCCCCTGCACAAGGGACTCTCAGTTTTGTTGCACATACTACACATAACACGACCACTTACATGATTAGTAATAAACAGAACTAAATACAGGGTTTGGCAGCTGATGTTACAGTTGAAACTACTTTCAACCCCCCTTGTAAAAGGCAAATAGAATTAAATTTAGCTTCAGCTAAAAAGGCTGTGATGTTCAGAGGCAGCATATTTAGACTGCAGTATGATTTTTCTCTTAAGGTGCTACTTATCGGAATTACACTACTAGGATGAAGGTCTTTCATTCCCATTAACAAAAATGTTTCCATGTCTTAACTGCTGAAACATGTTGGGGTGTGAGATTAGCTGTAGTGGATGTGGGGAACACGTGTTAAAGCTCTCAGGCACAGCTGGGGAGAGGGTACAAAGCAACATCGCTCTGGTTTTTCTGGATCTTTAAGAACCGAAATATGACAACTGCTAATTATACTGAGTGGCAGTTACCATTACAAAACAGAAAAGTGCAAACCAAAATAAACCCCATGCTGTGTAGCTGTCCAGAAGGCAAATACGGAGTGTTTTTAAAAGCTTTTTGTATCAGTTGTCTCGTGGATGACAGGATGTTACTGAGCAGCTCATCTCATAAGAAGGGATTCACAGAAGTAACACTGGTAACTAAGTCTTTTTTTTTTTCTCCATTTACAGGAGGTAAAATTAGAACACCATCATATTTGATTGTAAATTTTAATGTTAATTGCACACTTAACCAAAAGCTAATTATGCATTTCAGATGAGAGAATCATCTATTCCCCAGACATCCCGTTCCCATCATAGTTTTGCTGAGTTCCTTGCAAGCACTGACTTTAAGCTTGAATGCTTGCAGAAAACTTGTTTCTAAAAAAAGAGATAATAAGGTTCTGTAATTTAACGTATAGATGCAATAGCAGTGTGTGTCCCCAGGGATCTGACAGACCTGATTCTGCTCAGTAAATTCACAGCTGTTGTAAAATCCTCTGATTTGCTGTTTAAACAAAGAACTAAAATGGAAAAATTCATGAGAGTGAAAAGAATGGGTTGATCCTTGTAAGAGAGTCAAGAATTACATTTTATTTGCAGCATTAAGGACTTACTGGGTCCCAGGAATGGGAATCATTGTGGTTGAGTGGACATAAAGCACTACTTCTGATGCTAAAACACAATGCAGAATATTTGACTGGAGAAAAGATGCAATAACAGTGTCTATAATTCAATTCCGAGGTCTTGGTTACATCTCAAGTAATAATACACTGCTGCTTTGAGAAGAACTTGGTGCTCATGCCACTCTGAATGGTCTTTAAGATTAGAGTTGCAGGAGTGATACAAGGGAGAAAAAGAAAAACTTAAAAAATAAACCCCTGAGAGGTTAGTTATCCCTCACACTATTGAATTTATTGAACAGCCTAAGCTTGCTGAGCAAGGCATTGCTGTGTTTGCAGTTAAACAGTTGACATGGAGGGTTTATTTCTGTTTATAGTTAATCACCTTAATCCCATTGTTATCTCATTATAACTCTGCATTATAGTGAAGGCCAAATTCAACTTCAGTCTAAGTTCTGTTACCACTGCAGTTATTCCTGCTGGCAATATTGGATTTGCTCTCACTGCAAGGTGTAGTATCTCCTTCTGTGCTCCATCTTTGCAGAGTCACTGCATATATGGAGCATTTGCCCTTGCTTTGTGCATTTCAGTAAAATAAAAAAGGTACAAATTGTGTTCAGAGGTCTCAGGTTGTATCCAGGAGCAGTGTGGAGTGTGTTTGTGTTATCTGTTGGTAGGTCAAAGGTTTGGACCTTTTCTAGAGAAAATGGGCTGATGTTAATACTTTGTCCAGTAGAGGAGAAGCTGTATGTGGGAAATTTCAAGGGAAATTACTCAGTTGGTGTAGTAAGGCAGTTAATATTTGAGAGGACAAATGGGTTGCTGTGCTCCTGATGTTTTGCATTTAATGCTTTTTTTTTTTACCTGAAATTCAGAATAGATATTTTGTAATCATTTTACATAGGTCTTAGACTCATGTGCCTCAAAACATTTTCCTGTTGTCCTTGTCTTATCAGAATCACCCTCATTATTATTTTCTTTCACAATGTTATCTTCTGCATAATGACTAGGTATATTCTATATTTAAATATGCTTGGTTACGCTGTGATCAGTTATGAGATAATACAGTGGGTGGAATTTATGAGCTCTCATAGTATTTGTCTCACTACTTAAACTATGTCACATTTGGTCAAAAAAGACTGTGAGGCTTCACATTTATAACTTTAATGCATTGTGTTGTCTGCTGCAGTGTCATGTTTATGCAACACTCGAGTATGCTGAACAGCTGATTTTAGAGCTAAAACCAGGAAACCAACCCCCCCCCATTGTTTTCTGATGTGAGAGATTGTACCCTGTAGCACAACTGGACTACCTGGGAGTTTAGCAGTGGGTACTTCGTGATTTATTTTCTGTTGAGCAGCTATTTAGCATCATCCTGATTCATTAAACAGTGTGAACTAAGCTCCCAGATGCTGAGTGCTGACTTGCTGTATTTCTCTTGGCAAGGCTGTTTTCAGTTACATTGAGGGAAAGTCGTGTGAGTATCCCCTGAAGCACATTTTGATTTGTTAGAAAGGGGAATGTGCGATGATCCTCCCAGCACGTGGAAAACGGTGGTGTTGGTTCCCTATCTACAATCTAACACATCTGTAGTGGGTTTTTTTCTCCTTTTAATAACCAGGTCCCCAAAATGGCCTTTTTTACCTGCTTATCATGGTTAAGTGGTGCTGAAGCTGCAGTGTAACCACAGTGTGCTCAGACATCCAGCTGACTGCTGTGTGTAGCCGTGCTGGAGGCATTGGGCTCTGCAGACCTGTATGACAGAAAGAAACACTGGTGAGAAGTACCAGAAACAGGACAAAAAAGCAGCACATTTCTGCACTGTGGAGAACTGGAAGGCCTATGGTTTGCTGGTCACGTTCTCCCACCTGCAGAACAATGTAAAGTTTACAAGGAGACACTGATCTCAACCTAGATCTTGGTGAGCTGCTCTAGTTGCCCAGCAAATACTAATGAGAGTGACAAAGTAGGAAACATAAATCCTGTTTGGTGTTAGTTATATCTTTCAATATCAGCTTAGCACCTTGAATTTTATGGTCAGAGCCACTGCAGCCCAAAAGTGTACCCTAGGCATCCTAGTGTATCCCGTGTTTCTGTCACAGTTTGAGCTCTGCAGCATTGCTAAGATGTTCCTCCCTCTAAATGGAGCTGCCAGTCCCAAGTGTGTTGCTCAGCTCACACATGGCATCCTGTGCTTCTGTTGTGCACTTGCATCTTGTTTGAAAATTCCTCTGGTTTTGCCAATTTTGCTTTGCATCCATTTCTTTGCTAATCAGATACTCAGTGCTTTGCTACTAATTTATGTTAGAAACTGAAACAGGAGGTGGCAGGAGTGTTTGAAACTTTGGGGGGAGCAGGTGTAAGTGGAGCAGATAAACACACTATGTTATGAGCTGCTGTGCTTCATTAACTGAAGTACCTTCACATG